CCCACCCTTCTCCCTTTGACTCACTCAGATACAGAAAAACAAACAAATATATCAGCTAGAACATTCTAGGCCACCCCTTCCCTTCTCACCTGACTGCTCGCTCTGCCTGGAGATGGCTCATCTCCCAAGTAGCTACATGATTCATCCACCACCTCCTTCAAGGTTTTGTCCAGAGGTCCTCTTCACCTAGGGTCTTTCTGATGGTTTTATCTAGCACTATAACCCCAGAGGTTCCTGAGAGGGAAGAGAACCGATAATTTCCAATCTATCCTTCTGGTCTTATACAATGAGTGGCCAGATTATGAGGATCTCTGAACCTATAATAATCTGGCCACTCAGTATATGTCCTATATAATAAAAGGCTAATATGCAAATTATCCCCTCAACCAAGAGTTTGACCAGCAGGCAGGCCAGCCAACCGCCTATGTCCCCTCCTCCTGGCCAGGCTGGCCAGACCTACCCATGCACCAATTCATGCACCGGGCCTCATATTTATATAGACTGAGTGGCCAGATTGTTATGCATTCAGAGATCATAATAATCTGGCCACTCAGTGTATTTTCTTCATAGCACTTACTGCCACCAGTACCCATATGCAAACATTCTCTCAAAATGGATCAAAGGCCGAAACTGGTTTGACTCAATGGATAGAGTGTCGGTTTGGGGACTGAAGGGTCCTGGGTTCGATTCCCGTCAAGGGCATGTACCTTGGTTGCGGGCATATCCTCAGTAGATCAGCAAGAGACAGCTGATTCATGACTCTTTCATCGATGTTTCTGGCTCTGTATCTCTCTCTCTTCCTCTCTGTACAAAATCAATAAAATATATATTTTTTAAATGGATCAAAGACCTAAATAGAATACCTGAAACAATACATTACATAGAAGGAAACATAGGTAATAAACTTAAGAACCTAGGTATTAGATAAGTTTATATTAATTTGACCACACAGTCGAGGAAAGTAAAAGCAAAAATAAGTGAATGGGATTATATCAAATTAAAAAGCTTCTTTTTGCACTGCCTAGAAACCAACACCAACAACAAGAAAAGGTGACCAACCAAATGGGAGAAGATATTTGAAAATGACAGGTCCAACAAGGGGTTCATGTCTAAACTAACAAAGAACTCATACAACTCAACACCAAACAAACAAACAATCTAATTTAAAATGTCAGCCCTGCCCGGTTTTGCTCAATGGATAGAGCGTCAGCCTGTGGACTGAAGGGTCCCAGGTTCGATTCTGGCCAAGGGCATATGCCTGGGTTGGGGGCTCTGTCCCCTGGATGTGCAGGAGGCAGCTCATCAGTGATTCTCTCTCATCATTGATATTTCTATCTCTCTCCCTTTCTCTTCCTCTCTGAAACCAATAAAATATATTTTTAAAAATGTCAGAGGGCCGAAACCAGTTTGGCTCAGTGGTAGAGCATTGGTCTGTGGACTGAAGGGTCCCAGGTTCTATTCCAGTCAGGGGCATGTACGTTGGTTGCAGGCACAGCCCCGGTAGGGGGTGTGCAGGAGGCAACTGGTCAGTGTTTCTCTCTCATCGATGTTTCTGGCTCTCTATCTCTCGCCCTTCCTCTCTGTAAAAAATCAATAAAAATATATTTAACAAAAAAAAAAAAGTCAGAGGACCTGAACAAGCCCTTCTCCCAGTAAGACATACAAATGGCCAACAGATATATGAAAAGATACTCAACATAACTAGCTTTTACGGAAATGCAAATCACAACTACCAGGAGATACCACCTCACACCTGTTGGAATGGCTATTATCAACAAGATGGGTAGTAATAGGTGTCGGTGAGATTCTGGAGAGAAAAGAATCCTCATTCACTGTTGGTGGGGATGTGAACTGGCACAGCTACTCTGATGGATGGAGGTTTCTGGAAAATGTAAGAATAGAGTTACCATATGATCCATCAATCCCTCTTCTAGGTATCTATTAAAATTTTTTGAAAATATTTATTTGCAAAGACAAATATGCACCCCTATGTTCCTTCCAGCATAATTCATGGTGGTGAAGACATGGAAACAACTGAAGTGTCCTTCCATAGATTATTGGATAAAGAAGATGTGGTCCTTACATATAACTAAAGGCCCAGTGCACAAAATTCATGCATCAGGGGGTCCCCCTCAGCCAGGCCTGCACCATCTTGCAATCCAGGACTCTTTGGAGGATGTCCTACTGCTGGTTTAGGCCCGATCCCACATCCCTCTTGCAATCCAGAACCACTGGTTCCTAAGTGCTCACCTGCTTGCCTGCCTGATCGCCCCTAATCACTCTGCCTGCTTGCCTGATCGCCGCTAACGGACATCTGGAAGGTTGTTCAGCTGTCTTATCTAATTAGCATAGTATGCTTTTATTATTATAGATGTAATGGTATTCAGCCATAAGAAAAGATGAAACGCTGTCATTTATGGCCACATGGAATATCATGCTAAGCAAAATAAGTCAAATAGAAAAAGTCAAGAACCATGTGATTTCACTTATAGGTGGAATATAAAACTGAAAACAACAAATGAACAAACAAGAAAAACAAACAAGCAAAAACTCATAGACAAGGACAACAGTATGGTGGGTACCATTGGGAATTGGGCTAAGAGGAAGCGAAGGGTAAAGAGGGTCGCCCTAACTGGTTTGGCTAGGTGGATAGAGCACCAGCCTATGGACTCAAGGGTCCCAGGTTCGATTCCGGTCAAGGGCATGTACCTTGGTTGCGGGCACATCCCTAGTAGGGGGTGTGCAGGAGGCAGTGATGGATGTTTCTCTCTCATTGATGTTTCTAACTGTCTATTCCTCTCCCTTCCTCTCTGTAAAAAAATCAATTAAAAAATATATTTTTTAAAGGATAAAGAGGGTCAAATATATGGTGATGGGAGACTATTTGACTCTGGGTGGTGGGCACACAACGCAACATACAGCTCATGTAGAAATGTGCACTTGAAACCTATCCAGGGTGGAGCAAACGCCAGTTTATAGTTGTGAGCACGCGAAACACAACTTGTTCTTGTATTACCGTTTATTCACTATTGTACGATTTTTCCCATACAAACAATTGTAAGCCTGCTTTTGTCCCGTGCCGTATAAACATATTGGCCAATGTCATCCCAATAAACTTAATAAAAAGAAAAACAAAAAAACAAACTACGTATTTCAAGCTTTTATTTTGCTAGTCAAAGGTCTCCGCCCAGTGGGACACGAGGCCCTGTGAAGGAATTTCTCTGTTTTGCGGATGTTGTGTTGTCCTCAGAGGCCAGGATAGTTTCTGGCTCAGAGTAAATGCACGGTGAAGAATATATATATATATATATATATATATATATATATATATATATATTTGTGTGTGTGTGTGTATTTGTATTTTTTTTAATGAATGCAATGAGCAAAGATAAGTTTATACAAAGAAATTCATCCCCCTTTATTATAATGAAAGCTATTCAAATGTACTTCAACGTGCATCAGAAAAATTCTGCAGGGTGCAAAATTATGCAACTGTATAAAGAAAGCAGAAACAAATGCAGTAAGAGAGGACATGTTCAGGATATTTTATAGAGTAAAATAAAAGTTTACATGAGCCAAAACCGGTTTGGCACAGTGGATAGAGCATCAGCCTGCGGACTGAAGGGTCCCAGGTTCAACTCCCGTCATGGGCATGTACTTGGTTGTGGGCACATCCCCAGTAGGGGGTGTGCAAGAGGCAGCTGATCGATGATTCTCTCTCATGGATGTTTCTAACTCTCTATCCCTCTCTCTTCCTCTCTGTAAAAAGTCAATAAAAAATATATTCAAAAAAAAAAAAGTTTACATGAGACCGTACTCAGCACAGGTATTTCTGTTAACCGATGCCCAGTAGGTATCGAAATCAGTGTGTGCTATCAGGCGCAGACCAAGCGATAGCAGTGAGCGTTTATTGGGGTGGAGCCGTGAGAGCCCGCCCTGTCCCATCCATACCCTTCTATTAGGGCTGGCGCTGGGTCCAGGCCCAAAGGCACGTCGGGGATTCTGCCTAGACCAGTTCCCCCAGGCCGAGCAGCGGCGTGAGGGTGTGGGGTCCAGGCCACTGCTGCGAGGGGGCGAGGGCAAGCACAATGGGCGCATTGAAAGACCCAGGACGCAGTCCATTCCTGAGCTCCTGCAGCTCCTGCCTGGCACCTGGTCCCTCCCTGGGGAGCTGCCACTGGGACCAGAATGTGCGGGGGTGAACCGGCTGGGTGCCGCCCCCGCACAGCCTGAGGAGGGAAGGAGGGTGGAGGCCGTGCAGGCCTATTGCTCTAGCTGCCTCAGGGGTTCCAGATAACCGCAGAGCCAGGAAGGGGGCGTCTCAGAGCTGGCTCCACCTGCACCCCGGGATCCTGGGCGCGGGGCGGGGGTGGCGGTGCTATAAAAGGGCCGCCCTGCACAGGGCTGGGCAGGCTTGGCTCCCGACCTAGTCCAGAGCCCAGATAAGATCCACCGGCAGGTGAGTAGGGGCCTTTGGTCAGGAGGGACAGCTGACTCCCACTCCTGAGGGGAGGGGCGCAGGGGGTCTGGAGTCCTGGTTCTGAGAGATGAAAAGTTGGAGGTGGACTTTTGAGTCCCTTAGAGAAAAGGAACTGGGGCACAGACTGAGGAGTGGGGAAGGGTGGGAGGCCAGAGGAAGTGTATCTGGGGGCCTAAAACCTGAGCTGGAGGGAAGATGCCGCAGGAGAGCAAGGTTTGGGGGTCTAAGAGGGAAAGGAGGCTGAGGGACAAGGTTCCTGGGTCTGAGGGGGGATGTGGGTGCAGACTGAGGCTTCTTGGTCTGAGGGAGGAGGTGGGGGAGAGGAGGGAGGCTGGGGCTCCTGGGTCTGAGGGGGGAGGTGGGAACTCCTAGGTCTGCAGGGAGAGGTGGGAACTCCTGGGTCTGAGTGAAGAGAAGGGACCCTGAGACCAGGAGTCCTGCTTCCGGAACTCTCTGTCTTTCCAGCCCCAGCAGAAGAGGCCCTTCCTCTGTGGCAGCCACAGAGGCTCAGACAGGACACATGGCAGGTCCCCTGCTCCAGCCCCTGCTGCTCCTACTGCTGTCCTTCGCTCTGGGATCTGCTGCACAAGCAGGTGAGGACTGGCCTGGGAGTCCTGACCCTGACCCCGAGCCTCACAGCTCCCCACTTCCCTCTCCAGAGCCCCCTCTTCTCCAAGGAGCCCCCGAGTCAGGACCCTCCCCTGCAGCAGCCTCCTCCATGGAGACTTCACCCCTGGGCAGTGGCCCCTTCCTTCCTGCTCCCTCCTGACCCCTGGGCTCTGGGTGCCCTTCAGGCTGCTCCTGCCCTCCGTGTCTCTCTCATCAGAAGCTGGGGTTGCCTCCAGACCAGCGGCTGCCCTGGGTTTCTGAGCAGGCTCCCCTCCCCATCTCCCTCCATGTCCGTCTGCAGCTGTCTCTGCCCTGTGCTCCGTGCCTGCCTCTGCCCTTCTCCATGCCGCTCTGTCTGCCTGCCTGTCTGTCTGTCTGTCTGTCTGTCTGTCTTGGCACCTCCCTCAGGGACGCCTCAGTTGGCCTGGAGGCGTGCTACCCCGTGGTTCTCTGTGTCTCTCTGTCCAGGAAAGAACTCGGGGGAACGGATCATCGAAGGCGTTCCATGTCCAAGACGGTCCCACCCCTGGCAGGTGGCCCTGCTCAAAGGCAACCAGCTGCACTGTGGGGGCGTGCTGGTCAACGAGGAGTGGGTGGTCACCGCCGCCCACTGCCAGATGAGGTCCGCGGCCGGGACCCGAGCATCTCCAGGGCTGCCTCTGGGATCCTAATTGATCCCCTGCCAGCTTGTGTGTCCCTAACTGCCCTCCCCTGCAGGCCTGATCCCCCCTAACTGCCCTCCCCTACAGGCCTGGTCCTCCCCAACTGCCCTCCCTTGCAGGCCTGGTCCCTCCCAACTGCCCTCCCCTGAAGGCTTGATCCCCCCTAACTGCCCTCCCCTGAGGGCCTGGTCACCCCTAACTGCCCTCCCCTGCAGGCCTGATCCCCCCATAACTGTCCTACCCTGAAGGCCTGGTCACCCCTAACTGCCCTCCCCTGCAGGCCTAGTCCTCCCCAACTGCTCTCCCCTGCAGGCCTGGTCCCCCCTAACTGCCCTACCCTGAAGGCCTGGTCACCCCTAACTGCCCTCCCCTGCGAACCTAGTCCGCCCCCCCCCCCAACTGCTCTTCCCTGCAGGCCAGATCACCCCCAACTTCCCTCCTCTGCTGGCCTGGTCACCTCTAACTGCCCTCCCCTGAGGGCCTGGTCACCCCTAACTGGCCTCCCCTGCAGACTTGATGGCCCCTAACTGCCCTCCCTTGCAGGCCTGGTCCCTCCCAACTGCCCTCCCCTGCTGGCCCTCTTGTGGCGGCCATCTTGTGCCCCCTCTCTCTGGGCCCCGTGCCCCTCTCTCAGGGGCCGGGCCTCTCTCTGAATGTCTCCCTTTCCCCCAGTGACTACAACGTGTACATGGGCAGCTTTCGGCTGAACAGCAGGAGAGGCCAGAAGATCAAGGCCACGGAGTCGTTCGTCCACCCCGCCTACTCCACCCAGACCCACGAGAACGACATCATGCTGGTGAAGCTGAGCGAGCCCGCCCAGCTGACCTCGGCCGTGAAGAAGGTCAACCTGCCCACCCAGTGCGACCCGGCCGGGACCCCCTGTACCGTTTCCGGCTGGGGCACCATCACCAGCCCCGACGGTGAGGCTGCCCGGGGACTCAGAGCGCTGGCCGTCGGCCACTCTCCCCTCGGACCCAGGAGTTTAGGTCCTAGGTCCTTGTTGCCCCACCCCACCCCCACCCCCTCCACCCAGGAGACCATAAGACATGGCCCCTTTCTTTCTTTCTTTCTTTTAACATATAGATTTTATTGATTTTTTTTTTTTTTTTTTTTTTTTTTTTTTTTTTTTTACAGAGAGGAAGAGAGAGGGATAGAGAGTTAGAAACATTCATGAGAGAGAATCATCCATCAGCTGCCTCTTGCACACCCCCCACTGGGAATGTGCCCGCAACCAAGTACATGCCCTTGACCGGAATCGAACCTGGGACCCTTCAGTCCTCAGACCGATGCTCTATCCACTGAGCCACACCGGTTCCGGCGAGGCATGGCCCCTTTCCACGTCTGTCTTGCTGAGCCCCACAGCCCGGCTCAGGTCCAGAGGTCCAAGGGCCCGCGTCTTCTCCCAGGAGCACCCGAGGCTCTCCAGGCCCACACCTCTGACCAGCCTGCTCTGCCCATCCTCTCCGCAGTGACCTTCCCGTCGCAGCTCATGTGCACGAACATCAGGCTGATCTCCCCCCAGAACTGCAAGAAGATTTACAAGGACCTTCTGGGGAAGTCCATGGTGTGTGCCGGCGAGCCCAACTCCAGGACCAACGCCTGCAACGTGAGAACCACCCCCCGCTCCCTGGCCCTGATTTCCTGGCTCTCTCTACCCAGTTCTCTGCGTAGTGCTTGAGTGGGGACCCAGGGGGGCTGGTGTGGCCCCGGGGACGGTCACAAAGTGGAAGGGAACGTACTGATGACAGTGAGAACATGGGGGTAGGATGTGGAGAAGGGGAGGGAGGCACTGGCTTCAAGCACCACACACGCAGTGGCCGAGATCAATCCTATTCTAATGCAATTTTTTTTAAAATAGATTTTATTGATTTTTTTACAGAGAGGAAGGGAGAGAGATAGAGAGCTAGAAATGATGAGAGAGAAACATCGACCAGCTGCCTCTTGCACATCCGGGGATGTGCCCGCAACCAAGATACATGCCCTTGACCAGAATCGAACCTGGACCTTTCAGTCTGCAGACCGATGCTCTACCACTGAGCCAAACCGGTTTCGGAGATATATATATATATATACACACACACACACACACATATATATATATATATAAAATCATTGCAAAAGTCCTTGATGGGCAAAAAATGTCAGAATCCTATCTAATAAAAGAGTAATATGCAAATTGACCAACACTCCAATACACAAGATGGCTGCCCCCATGTGGACACAAGATGGCCAGCAGGGGAGGGCAGTTGGGAGGGACCAGGCCTGCAAGGGAGGGCAGTTGGGGGCGATCAAGTCTGCAGGGGAAGACAGTTAGGGGTGACCAGGCCAGCAGAGGAGGGAAGTTGGGGACCACCGGGCCTGCAGGGAAAGGCATTTGCAAGAAGGGGGGGCGGTACCCAGGTCTACAGGGGAGAGCAGTTGGGGAGGACTAGGCCAGCAGGGAAGGGCAGTTGGGGGTGACCAGGCCTGCAGGAGAGGGCAGTTAAGGATGACCAGGCCTGCAAGGGAGGGCAGTTAAGGATGACCAGGCCTGCAAGGGAGGGCAGTTAAGGATGACCAGGCCTGCAAAGGAGGGCAGTTAGGGGCAAACAGGCTGGCAGGGGATCAACTAGGCATCAATCAGGCTAGCAGGGGAGTGATTAGGGGGTGATGAGGCTGGCAGCAGAAGTTAGGGGCAATCAGTAAGGCAATCAAGCAGTTAAGGGCCATCACTGAGATTTCCTGCCAGAGCTTAGGTCTCATTCACCTCACGGGGTCCTGCCCGGGGAAAGAAGGAGTCCCTCCCTCCTCTTTGTCCCCCCTTCTTGGTCTCTGTAATCTCATCGCTGTCTCTGAAAATCACCTCTCCTCACACCTCATTTCATTTTCTTGTTTATGTTTGTGTTCCTTCTGTGTTGGGATCGCTCTCTTTCTTCTCTCTCCTCTCTCTCTCTCTCTCTCTCTCTCTCTCTCTCTCTCTCTCTTCTTCTCTCTCTCTCTCTCTCTCTCTCTCTCTCTCTCTCTCTTCTCTTTGTCTCTTTGCCTCTTAGTACCTCCACTATCTTTGCTCACATTTGCTTTCAGAGGCAGAGGTGCTATATGTGTTAGGCCAGGACTGTGTCCTAAAGGCTGGGGGTCCCTCTTTCACCCCCGACCTGACTCAAGAATGTGCAAGGTGTGTGGGAGATAACAGAGCCCCACACTCAGGGACAAGCCCATCCCTGCTTTCAACTCTTGTTGCTGTTTTGAAACGCATCTCTTTGCTCCAGGTGGTCTTCATTTTAGCTTTGCACTTGACCCTGTGCATTAGGTCCTTGGTTCTATGCCTGGTTCCCAGGAGTATTTTGTCCCACGTTCCAGGCAAGGGCCTGGGGGCTGGATTCCCTGGGGACAATCCGCCTTCTTTTAGAGGCTGGGGGAAGAGTCCTTCACCATGGAAGCCCCGCCCCTTCCCATGATGGGTCCCATTGGCTGGGGGCTCAAGCCAATGTCCTCTGGCAAGATTGCCTTCATTCCTGCTCTCCCATTGGTCCGCGGAGACCATGAGTCTCTTCCCATTGGGTAGGGTGGAAGGCAAGTGGTCCTGCAGGACAAAGACTCGATAACTATCTATTTGTGTGTGTGTGTGTGTGTGTGTGTGTGTGTGTGTGTGTGTGTGTGTGTGTTGGGGGAGGGGGTGTTAATATTAACACCTAGGTGATGATTGCTCCAAAGCCAAAACTAATCTGCTCTCTCCCCTCCAGGGTGACTCAGGGGGACCGCTGATCTGCCAAGGCACCCTGCAGGGCCTGGTGTCCTGGGGCGCATTCCCGTGTGGCCAACCCAACAACCCCGGTGTTTACACCCAAGTCTGCAAGTTCACCGACTGGATCAACCAGACCATAAAAAACAACAGCTAACCTCGCCAAGCTCCCAGCCGTCTCTCCAGCTCTGTACCTTGAACCAGAAAACTGACAGGAAACCAGGACATGCAGGACCCGCAGTCATATTTGACCTCACCTTTGCTCAAAGTCATAGTAAAACCCCAACAATAGGATACGTGTGCAAACCAATGGAAATCCAACAAAAAAACACAACAATTAAGATTTAAAAAAAACAACCACAACATCTCCCCAGGAGCCTCCGCCACTGGAATTGTAAATTGGGCAAATATATCCGGAAGGCACTTGGGCAAGGGAGAGCAAGACCCTTACTCCTCCCCCTTGGGCCTGGGAATTCTGGTAAAAATCCGGAGCAAGATTAGAATTAGTGGATGCTTTAGGTAAACAATACGTCCTTCTGGGACGAGGCTATGAACGAAGCTGCTCAGGATAACCATTATGCAGAGTTGGTTCCATGTCACGCAAGAATGTGTATGCTCCCTGATGTTAAAAGATAAAATAAAATTAAAAAAAAATGATGAATGCATGCAATCGTCAACATGTAACTTGAAATATTCACGGAATAAAGAGCATGTACCAAACTGCCTATGGACGGGGTCAGGAGTGCTTCCCTCCTTCCCTTTCCCTGTCTACAACCTGAGAGATATGGGTGGGGGCCTCTCTTCAGGGTTGGTGAGATACTTTATGAGAGGGAGACGGGCCCTAACCGGTTTGGCTCAGTGGATAGAGCATCAGCCTGCGGACTGAAGGGTCCCAGGTTTGGTTCCGGTCAAGGGCATGTACCTTGGTTGTGGGCACATCCCCAGTGGGGAGGGTGTGTGTGTGTGTGTGTGTGCAGGAGGCAGCTGATCGATGTTTCTCTCTCATCGATGTTTCTAACTCTCTATCCCTCTCTCTTCCTCTCTGTAAAAAAAAAAAAAAAAAAAAAAAAATCAATAAAAAATATTAAAGAGAGAGAGAGAGAGAGAGAGAGAGAGAGAGAGAGAGAGAGAGAGAGAGAGAGACGGGAGGGGCAAATGCATCTGATGCTGAGCCTCAGTGTCTCCTGCCCCCCAATGGGGTGGGGGGGTGTTCCCAGGTCTCCGTTTTCCCCAAACATTAAGTGGGAGACAGAGAGACAGTCAGAGAGAAGAGAAATGGAGGGTTGAAATGGATGTGAAAGTGGTTCTGAGCCTCTCACAGGTGGCAAACTAGGTCAGAGGGAGGGCCGTCCACACGTGAGCACCTGGTGTCCCAGGTGGGAGAGAGGGATGGGGCTGGGTGCCTGTGTAGGTGGGCTCCTGTTCTCAAAGAATGCAGGGAAGAGAGGCGGGAGGAGGGAGGAGTCCCTGTGACTCAGGGCCCGGCCCCACCCTGGGCCTCCAGCTGTCAGAGGCTCTCCCTGGGCCATCACATCTCAGACTCAGTTGACAGAGGAATCTTCTCCAGCATGGACTCAGTCCTCTCACCTGTCTTTCCAGTTTTTCTCCCAGAATTCCCTCTGGCCAACATTCTCCAGATCCTTTCTCTCCTCATCTCATCTCTCTCTTGAGTCTCCCTTGGACCCCGCTCTCCACCAATAGTCTGCATTAGGGTAAACCAAGACCCCCCCCCCCGCCTCCCACAAAGCACAGGAGTCCAGGCCCCCTGTCCCTCCTCCCTCAGACCCAAGGTTCCAGGCCCCCAGCCAATCCTCCCTCAGACCCAGGAGGCCAAGCCCCTCCTCCCTCATACCCAGGGATCCAGGCCCCCAGGCCTCCAGCCCCTCCTCCCTCAGACCCAGGAGTCCAGGTCCCCAACCCTTCCTCCCTCAGACCCAGGGGACCAGGCCCCCAGCCCTCCTCCCTCAGACCCAGGAGTCCAGGCCCCCAATCCCTTCCTCTCTCAGACCCAGGGGTCCAGTTCCCCAGCCCCTCCTCCCTCAGACCCAGAAGTTCAGGCCCCCAGCCCCTCCTCCCTCAGCCCCAGGGGTACAGGCCTTTGGCCTTGTCCTTCCTCTGGATCCGTGTCACGTTGATGGGATGTTTAGGGTTTTGAGATATCCACCCCATGAAGCTCCATCAACGTCCCCTCTGTCCAGCATGCCAGCCCAAATCAATAGTCAGTCCAAAATCTTTAAAAGTAACAAAACATGGCCATGGCCCTGAGTTCGGCTGGAGCTCCCAGGTCCTGCCTCTGAGTCTGCAGGTGAGTATCCTGACAATGATCTCACCTAGTCCTCTTGTGGAATTCCTTAAAAACAGCTTTTTTTTTTTTCTTTTCTTTTTCTCCCCTTGGGGTATGCAGGATAGCAGAGCAGTGAAAGGCACTCGCCCCAGGTCTGGCTCCTGTAAGCTATTTGCCTTTGAGCACATTAACTCCCTGCTCCTTCGTCTTTGAAATCTGAGTAGCTCCTATTCCCCCCGCCGCTCCCCGGGGTGGGGAGGGGGGCTGATGCGTCAGAAGGTGCTGGCAAGTTGTGGGCCACAGACTAAGCCTCCAGTGGGTGTGGTTTCTCCTCGTCTGTGACTTGTCCCCCTTTTTCCTGGTTACATCTCCTCAAGTTCCTTTAGACTCATCCTTCAGCATCGTACCACGAAATGTTTCTAACATGCGACGGACAATTTACCATAGACACCCCACCCATCTACCATTAGCATTTTACTGTATTTCCTGTATCTCGTATCCACCTATTTGCTCTAGTCCCGTGGTCGGCAACCTGCGGCTCTCAAGCCACATGCGGCTCTTTGGCCCCTTGATTTTTTAGCAAAGGCCAGCTGAGGAGTACCCTGATTAAGTTAATAACCATGTACCCACCTATATAGTTTAAGCTTAAAAATTTTGGCATTCTCTCTTGCTAAAACCGGTTTGGTTCAGTGGATAGAGCGTTGACCTGCGGACTGAAAGGTCCCGGGTTTGATTCCGGTCAAGGACATGTACCTTGGTTGCGGGCACATCCCCGGTAGGTTGTGTGCAAGAGGCAGCTGATCGATGGTTCTCTCTCATGGATGTTTCTAACTATCTATCTCTCTCTGTAAAAAATCAATAATATATATAATTTTTTTTAAATTGGCTTTCAAAAGAAATTTCACTCGTTGTACTGTTGATATTTGGCTCTGTGGACTGATGAGTTTGCCGACCACTGATCTAGTCGTCCATTAATCTGATTTCTTTTTCTTTTCTTTTTTACTTTATTTGCATCAATGAACTTGTATTACTCTTTTAGTTTTAAAAAAAAAAACTGTTAAAAATTAGGGGACACCGGGGGTAGGTTGATGGGGGGAAAAGGGGATATATAAGTACTACTATTTGTAATACTTTAAACAATAAAATAACTGATTTTTAAATATATTTCAAAATAAAGTATAGACATTGGTACACTACCTTCTAAATACTTCAGCAGGCATATCCTTTTTAGAAATTATTTAGAAAGAGAGGAAGAGAGACAGAGGTACATCTATCGACTGCCTCCCGCACACCCCACACAGGGGATCAAGCTGCAACCTGGGAGGTGCCTTGACCAGAATCAAACCCACCACCTTTCAGTGTTTGGGATGATGCTCAACCAACTGGGCCACACCAGCCAGGGCTGGTACCTGCATCGCTATCTAGGGTTCTGTATTTATTTCTCATAACTTTTTTTTTTTAATATATTTTATTGATTTTGTACAGAGAGGAAGGGAGAGAGATAGAGAGTTAGAAACATCGATGAGAGAGAGTCATCGATCAGCTGCCTCTTGCACACCCCCTACTGGGGATATGCCTGCAACCAAGGTACATGCCCTTGACCGGAATCGAACCCGGGACCCTTCAGTCCCCAAGCCGACGCTCTATCCATTGAGCCAAACCGGTTTCGGCAATTTCTCATAACTTTTTATTTTTGTTTGTTAACCCTCACCCCACTGGTTTTTAGAGAGAGTAGAAAGGAGGGGGAAGGTCAGAAAGAGACAAACAGCGATGGGAGAGAGACACATCATCGGTTGCCTCTCGGAGATTGACCCTGCAACCGAGGTGTGTGCCCTTGACCAGAATCGAACCCGGAACCAGACTGACGCTCCATCCACTGAGCCAAACCGGTGAGGGCCATGACTTTTTCTTATAGGACATGCCAAAACCTGTTTGGCTCAGTGGATAGAGCATCGGCCTGCGAACTGAAAGGTCCCGGGTTCGATTCCAGTCAAGGGCATGTACCTTGGTTGCAGGCACATCCCCATTGGGAAGTGTGCAGGAGGCAGCTGATCAATGTTTCTGACTCTCTGTCCCTCTATTTTCCTCTCTGTAAAAATATCAATAAAATATATATATTAAATGTATAAAATGGAGCATGTCAATAGGAGAACAACACTCCCTAATTAAGAGTGCGTGTGTGTGTGTGTGTGTGTGTGTGTGTGTGTGTGTGTGTGTGACACGTGAGGATGACAAAGCCCAAAAGGCCAGTGGCACACGCCTGGCGTTGGGGACTTAATTCTCTCTCTCTTAGTTTCCTCCACTCCCTTCGGCCTACCCACCTCCCTCCTTCCCTGCACGGCTCTCAGCTATTCCTCCTCAATCCACAGCCCACAGTGTAGCAAGACGGACCGAGCGGGGGTGCCGAGAGATGCGTCATGGCCGTCCCCAGGCTGGAAGCCGAGTTTCGGTTCAGGCTCCATCATTTCCTGGGTGCTTCACGTTGAGCAATTACCTTTGTCTCTCTGGGCCTCCGTTTCCTCTCCTTTTCTTATATATATTTTCACTGATCTTTTCAGAGAGAAAGGAGGGGAGGAGGAGAGAGAAACATCGATGTGAGAGGGGAACGCGGATCGGCTGCCTCCTGCACGTCCCCTCCAAGGGACAGGCCTCCCATCGAACCCACAACCTCCCAGGGCACGGAGCGACCGACGCCCAGCCAACAGAGCCACTGGCCAGGGCTGAGCCTCGGTTTTCTTATCTGCAAACCAGGAGTGGGCATAATGGAGTCATTTAGTCGGTGTGTCAACATTTCCTAAGGCTTCCTCTGGGCCAAGCCTTGGCAGCAGCGCTTGGGACACAGGCTGAGTCAGCCCCCGGCCTGCCCTTCAGGA